TTTTTTTTTGAGTTGGAGTCTCACTCTGTCGCCCAGACTGGAGTGCAGTGGCCGCTCCTGGCCACCGCAGCCTCGACCTGCTGGGCTCCGGCGATCCTTCCGCCTCAGCCTTCCGAGTAGCCGGAATTACAGGCATGCGCTACCACGCCTGGCTGAATTTTTGATTTATTGTAGAGATGAGGTCTTGCTGCCCAGGCGGGTCTCGAACCTGCGGGCTCAGGCAATCCACTCACGTCAGCCTCCCAAAGGCGCAGGATTACAGGCTGATCCACCGAGCCCGGCTACTATTTATTAAAAAATATATATTTAATACTTTTTCCCAGTTCATGACTTGCCTTTTCATTTTTAAAAAAATAGGCTCCCCTGACTTGAAAAAAACTAATAGATTTAGTTTTTTAAGAACATTCTTAGATTTATAGAAGAATTGAGCTGATAGTACAGAGACTTCCTATATACTCCTCCCTCCTCCATACACAATTTCCCTTGCTATTAACAGCATGTGTTGATGTGATATATTTTGTTTTTTGGGTTTTTTTGAGTTAGAGTCTCATTCTGTTGCCCAGGTTGGAGTTCAATGGCACGCTCATGGCCACCGCAGCCTTGGCCTGTTGGGCTCAGGTGATCCTTCCCCTTCAGCCTTCCAAGTAGCTGGAACTATAGGCACCACCACGCCTGGCTAATTTTTTAAATTTTTATTGTAGAGATGAGGTCTTGCCAAGTTGTCCAGGCTAGTTTCGAATGCATGGCAATTCTCTCATCTTGGCATCCCAAAGTGTTGGAATTATAGATGTGAGCCACTGTACCCAGCCAGTATATTTGTTATGGTTAATGAGAAATAAAAAAATTATTATTAACCAAAGCCCATAGTTTACATTATAAGTTTATTCTTTATGTTGTACAGCTCTATGGGTTTTTGCAAATGTTTAATGTCATGTATCCATCATTACAGTATCATCCAGAATAGTTTCACAGTCCTAAAAACTTCCTGCGCATCACCTGTTCATCTCTCCCCATTTCTTCCTTCTTTCCTTCCTTTCCTTCTTTCCTTCCTCCCTCCTCTCCCCTCTCCTTTCCTCCCCTCCCGTTCCCCTCCTTCCTTCCTTCCTTCCTTCCTTCTTTCCTTCTTTCTCTTTCTCCCTCTGTTCCCCAGGCTGGCATGCAGTGGCACACTCACGGCCCCTGCAGCCTTGATCTGCTGGGCTCAGGCAGTCCTTCTGTTTCAGCCTTCCAAGTAGCTGGAATTACAGGCGTGCACCACCACACCCAGCTAGTATTTTGATTTAGTGTAGAGATGAGGTCTTGCCAACTTGCCCAGGCTGCTCTCAAATCCCTGGGCTCAGGCAATCCTCTTGCCTCAGCCCCCCAAAGTGCTGGGATTACAGGTATGAGCCACTGTGCTTGACTTTTGTTGTTTCTTTTTGAGCTGGAGTCTCACTGTGCTGCCCAGGCTGGAGGGCAGTAGTACACTCCCAGCCACCACAGCCTCGACCTGCTGGGCTCAGGCAATCCTTCTGCCTTAGCCTTCCAAGTAACTGGAACTACAGGCACGCACCACCACGCCTGGCTTATCACCTGGCTTGTTTGTTTGTTTGTTTTGCTTTTACTGTTGCTATACTTTTGTCTTTTCCAGGATGTTACACAGTTGGATACATATAGTATATATGTAGTCTTTTCAGACTGGTTTCTTTACTCTCACCTGATTTTTATTTCTTTACTATTATTTTGTGGAATTCATTAAGTTCTGGGCAACACATTTTGAAAACAATGTTGACTAGTTAGTATGTTTTCTCTAAGTTTTACTAAGAAAACTTGAAAGAATGGGGGATGTTTAGACTGGATAAGAGAAGACAAAAGAGGGAAGACAAAATAGCTGTTTCCAATTATTTAAAGAACTATCAGGTGAAAGAAAGAATGGACTTATTCTGAGTGTTTCCAGAGAACAAAATTAGGAATAGTGGGTAGAAGTTACTACAAGGCACATTATACTTAATATAAATAAGGGGTTTACATTTTTTATTATGTGAAATTTGATACACAAAGGAATATGTGCAATGTAACTGAGGAAGCTCAATGATGAAATTTACTTTCTGTGAACACGTCATAATTTTTTATTGAGATATAATTAACAGACCATAAAATTTACCCTTTTAAAGTGTGCAAGACTGTGATGCTCAGTATTCATAAAGTTGTGCAACTATCACCACTATCTAATTTCAAAATATTGTGATCATCCTAAAAAGAAGCCTTGTACCCATTAGCAGTCACTCTCCATTCCCCTTTCTCCCAGTCCCTGGAAACCACTAGTCTACTTTCTATCTGCCTCTTCTGTACATTTCATACAAATGGAATCATACACTTTGCAACCATTAGTGACCGACTTCTTTCACTTAGAATAATGTTTTCAAGGTTCATCCAATGTTGTATCATGCATTAGTACTTTTATGGTCAAATAATATTTGCTATTGTATGGTTATACAAAATTTTATTTCTCCATCAATCATTTGGACTATTTCCACTTTTTGTTCCTTTTGGATAATGCTTCTTATAAACATTTGTGTACAAGTTTTTGTGTGGACATATATTTTCATTCCTTTTAGATCTATACCCAGAGTAGAACTGCTGGGTCATATGGTAACTATATTTAACTTTTGGAAGAATTGCAAAACTCTTGCCAAAGGGGCAGCATCATTTTACATTCCTACCAGTGATTTCTCCACATTCTCTTCTGTGGTTGGTATTGTCCATTTAAAAATAATTATAACCCTTCCTAGTGGATGTGAAGTGATAACTCACTGTGGTTTTGATTTATGTTACTCTAATGATTGACAGTGTTGAACATCTTTCCATATGTTTATTGGCTATTTGTATTTCTTCTTTGGAGAAGTGTCTATTGAAATCTTTCACCCATTCAAAAATTGGGTTATTTATCTTTTCATTGTTGAATTTTAAGTGTTCTTTATGTATTCTGGACACAAATACCTTATCAGATATATAATTTGAAAATATTTCTCCCATTCCCTGGGTTGTCTTTTACTTTCTTAATGGTGGTCTTTGATGAACAAAAGTTTTGGATTTAGATGAATTTGTGTTTTTTTTCTTTTGTTACTGTGCTTTTGGTGTCATATCCAAAAAAACCACAGCATATTTCATGGTCATGAAGATATATGCCTAAATTTTATTCCAAGAGTTTTATAAAAGCTAAAACTATATATATATATATATATATGTATATATATATTTATTTATTTATTTATTTATTTTTTGAGTTGGAGACTCACTCTTGTCGCCCAGACCAGAGTGTAGTGGCACGCTCACAGCCATTGCAGTCTCGACTTGCTAGGCTCAGGCGATTCTTCCGCCTCAGCCTTCCAAGTATTAGCTCTTATATTTAGATCTTTGAACCATTTTGAGTTAATTTTTGTATATGGTTTGAAGAAGAAGTCCAACTGCATTCTTTTTTTTTTTTTTTTAAGTCAGAATCTCACTGTTGCCCAAGCTGGAGTGCAGTGGCACGATCATAGCTCACTGCAGCCTTGACCTCCTGAGTTCAGGTGCTCCTTCTGCCTCAGCCTCCCAACTTGGAGGGACTATAAGTGTGCGCCGTCACACCTGGCTAATTTTTTGATTTTTTTGTAGAGACAAGATATCGCTATGCTACCCAGGCTGGTCTCGAACTCCTGAGCTCAAGCAATCCTACCTCAGCCTCCCAAAGTGTTGGGATTACAGGCATGAGCCACCATGCCGACCCCAATTTCATTCTTTAGCATGTGACTATCTAGTTGTCCCAGCACTTTTTGTTGAAAAGACTGTTCTTTTCCCCATTGAAGTGTCTTGGCACCTTTTTGAAGATCAGTTTATCAGAAATGTAGAGATTATTGCTGGACTCTCAATTCTATTCCAGATAACTTGCTTTATACCATATCATACTGTCTTGATTATTGTGAATTTGTAGTAAGTTTTGAAATCAGGTATGTGAGTACTCCAACTTTTTAGTTTTGCTAGATTGTTTTGGATTAAGCACCTTGCATTTCCATATGAATTTTAAAATCAGCTTGTCAATTTCTGTAAGGAAGCCACTTGAGATTCTGATAAGGATTGCATTATGTCAGTTTTTTGAGGATCACCTTGTGGAGTACTGCCATCTAATATTAAATCTTTTAATTCATAAACATGGAATGTCTTTTCATTTATTTAGCTGTTCTTTACTGGTTTTCAACAATGTTTTACAGTTTTCCTTGCATAATTTTTGCTTTTGCTAATTTTATTCCTGTTTTTGTCTTTTTGATGCTATTGTAAGTGAATTTGTTTTCTTAATTTTATTTTGGATAATTCATTGCTAGAGAATAGAAATACAATAGTTTTGTATATTGATCTTGCAGTTTGCAATCTTGCTTCATTAATTTATTGGGTCTTATAGGAATTTTTTGCTGTATTCATAAGGATTTTATAAAAGTAAGATTATGTCATCCACAAGCAGAGACAGTTTTACTTCTTTCTTTCCAATCTGGTTGCCTTTTATTTCATTTTCTTGTCTAATTGCTCTGCTAGAACCTCCCAGTACAATAGAAGTTGTAAAGAAGTGGCAAGAATAGGCATCTTGTCTTGTTCCTGATCTTAGGGGAAGAAAGCATTTAGTTTTTCACCATTAAGTATGATGTTAACGTTGAGTATTTCATAGATGCTTATTATCAGGTTGAGGAAGTTTACTTTAATTCCCAGTTTGAGTGTTAATATCATGAAAGAGTATTGGATTTTGTAAAAAATTGCGTCTATTGAAATGGTCATGTGTTTTTGTCCTTTAAAAGCATAGTATATTCTTTATAATTGCTCTTTTTAAAATTTCTTTTTAAAATTTTTGACTGTTTTTCTTTTCTTTCTTTTTTAGGTATAATATTTTGATTATTCACATGTTAATCCAACCTTGCGTTTCTGGAATAAATACCATTTGGCCCTAGTAGTATACAGTTGTTCCTCGGTATATATGGGGAATTGGTTCCAGGACTCCTTCTGGATACCAAAATCCACAAATGCTCTAATCCCTTATATAAATGGTGTAAGATTTGCATATAACCTATGTACATCCTCTGGTATACTTTAAATCATCTTTAGATTATTTATAATACCAAATGCAATGCAAATGCTATATAAATAGTTGTTATACTGTGTTGTTTAGGGAATAATGATGGGGAAAAAGTATAGATGTAACTATTCATTTTTTTTCAAATATTTTAAATCTGTACTTGGTTGAACTAATGGATGCACAACCCACAGATATGGGTATAACTTGCTAGTATATGGGTATAACTTGCTAGTATTTTGCTGAGAATTTTGTATCTGTATTCATAAAGTCTGTTGTCTTCTTTTCTTGTGATGTCTTTGGTTTTGGTTTCAGTATTATACTGGCCTCATAGAATGCATTGGAAATTATACTGTCTTCTTCAATTTTTGTGTAGGCCTTGGTGTTATTTCTTCCTGAAATATTTAGCAGAGGTCACCAGTAAAGCTATCTGCATTTAGAATTTTCTTTGCAATACAAGCTTGTTTTTTTTTCTCTGTCAGGTAATATGCCAATGATATAACAAGGTTTGAGGGTAGCACTCTCACACATGTGTGTGAATACCCAGTCATCACACTTATGGTTTGCAAAAGGATCTGCAGGAAAAGTTTTAATTACAAATTCAATTTCTTTAATAGATATAGTATATTTAGGCTATTTAGACCTTTTTAAAAAATGGTTTAAACAATGTATTTATGTGGCAAAATATATACAATTTCCTCGACATCTTTTTTTTTTTTCCTGAGTTGGAGTCTCACTCTGTCGCCCAGACTGGAGTGCAGTGGCCTCTCCTGGCCACCGCAGCCTTGACCTGCTAAGCTCCGGAGATCCTTTCACCTCCGCCTTCCAAGTAGCTGGAACTGCAGACGCACACTACCATGCCCGGCTAATTTTTTTTTAATTTATTGTAGAGATGAGGTCTTGCCAAGTTGCCCAGGCAGCTCTCGAACCTGCGGGCTCAGGCAATCCACTCACCTCAGCCTCCCAAAGCGCTGGGATTACAAGCTGAGCCACTGAGCCCGGCTTCCTCTACATCTTATAACTTAGCCCCTCCAATACACAGGCACATGCATACACACATTTTTTTCTCTTTTACAAAGACATTCATGACTTACAGTTTGTAATATATCTTTCCAATATTGTTTCAAACCTTAATTTACATAATTTAATGTATCTATATTTTTAAAAACTTGTATCAAACTATGCAAAATTCTGTGAATACCATTTTTAAATGCATTTTTTGGTTTTTTGTTTATTTTTATTATAAAGATGTGGGGTACAATACAGGGTTAGGTATACAAACGTTGATTATGCAGGTACCCTTGTTGATGAGTTATGCCACTCCCTCCCCTAGCAATTTCCCTCAACTGTGATCACTCTAAATCCATCCAAGTTGCTGTGAAGTCCATGTTTGTCCTTCTTATGGCTACATAATATTCCACTGTGTATAGGTACCACTTTTTTTTTCTATCCAGTCCAACTTCAATGGGCACATGGTTGGTTCCATGTTTTTGCTATTGTGAATGGAGCTGAAACAAACATACGTGCAGGCATCATCTTTGTAGAATTATTTGAGTTCCTCCGGGTATATTTCCAATAGTGGAATTGCTGGGTCATAGGGAAGGTCAATTTCTAGTTTTTTCAGAAATCACCACACTGTCTTCCAAAGAGGTTGTACTAGTTTGCATTCCCACAGCAGTGCAGAAGCATTCCTTTCTCTCACATCCTCACCAGCATCAGTTGTTGTTTGTTTTATTAATGATGGCTGGAATTGCAGTCCCAGCTCCACTCTGTCCCAGCACAAGACTTTTTGCCCTCTGTTCCTGGGTCCCTCAGGCGGCCACCCCAGTAGGCACACCCCCATGCGGTTCCTGCCCCGCGCTCCCTCCCTCTGCCTTTCATTTCCAGCTGCCAACATCTTGGAAACTTTGAAGCTCAGCAAAGAAGGGAAATCCATTGAGAAAAGTCTGTAAAGGTCTCCATCAACCTGGATTTCTCTGATCTCACCTCTCTCAGCATCATCTGGGACTTCTGGCAAGATGGCGATGGGGCAACCTGGTCTGTGAAACCCTCCGCAAAGGAGAATGCAGAGGGTCTCAGGCTCTCTCCCTGGGGGCTGCGGACCCCAACATCGGCAGCCTGCTCTTCACACAGAGCTTGGCTGTGCCACCACTGGGGCATCGCAGCGGTCTGGACAGCCACTGCAGCCACAGACACAGCAGCTGCCGGTGCTGCCACGGCCTCCGTGGTGGCTATAGCGCATCGCGCCACCCATGCCTGAGGTGATCCTCAACTTCAGTCCTTAAAGCCCCTGCAGGCAAGATCTGCTGGGATCACTGCCCCCTCTGCTGCTACCGTGACGTCCTGCCAGCTGTGGGTCTCCTCCCATGTGCCCTGAGACAGGCTTCCATCTCCAGCCTCTGCCCGACCCCTGTTCAGCTCCACCCGCTCTGGGGCGAGCAGCAGAGATAGCACCACCTGCTAACGATTCAAGGTAACAACACCAAAATGGGAGAAACAAGCTTGAAAAACAGACACAGACCATATTTGAGTGGTGAACGGAGGGTGATCTGAACTGTCCTTCACAGCAGGCCAGGGGCAACTGACCCTAACTGTGAACTAATTGACCAGCTTGAAAAGACAGCTGGAAATCAGAGCTGAAAGGACATTGGACTTAAATGAAAAGTCTCAGAGTGTGCTCGATTGGTTCTGTTAGTTTAATGACTTAATTCTATTCCTACTGTTTTTTTCCTTTTTTTTCTTTTCTTTTCCTCTTCCTTTTCTTCTCTTTTCTCCTCTCTGCAAACCATATCTTTGTATAGAGGAATAGCACACCAATAAGGTGGTTGGTTAGCTTTTATGTTAGCATCATTGTATTTTTTTTTTTTTGTATGGGAGTTGGTTAGTCTATAGCCATGGTCTATTGTTTTTATCTGTTTCAGTTTAGGTCTCTCTCTCCATTTGTTGGTACACTCATCTGTTTCCCCCCTTACACCTCTCTCTCCCCACCCCCTCTTCCCCCCACTGTCCACTCCACTCTCTTCCCTCTGCTAATCACATTTTATTTCAGGGAGTAAACCTACAGCCCCACTACACGGAAGATTCCAAGGCAGTGGGAAGTGGGTTTCAGATTATCCATACACCTGTCGGCGAATACCAGGACCCGCAGGTAGATTTTGAATCACAGCTGCCCCCTTAAGTAAACCTCAAAATTGCAAAAAGGACCACCCCCAATCTACAGTGCAACCCCAGAATTGAACAAAGTAAGAGGGCATACATAAAGAATAGGAGATTGAACAAACAGAAGTAAAAGCAATCCCTCTACCCCTGAATAACAGAATTAAAGAAGACAGTGACGTGGAGGGAAGGAAAAAGTAGGAAGGGGGAAAAAAACCACACAAGTGAAGAAAAATCAAAAGAAGAATATAGGTTTCAAACAGACCCTTGGGGGATCAGACACTGAGAAAACAGATTCCGGAACACAAACAATGAAGAGCCCCCAGAATGACTGGTCACATGCAACAAACCCAAGACATTAATAGAGAGAATTTTAAAAATTGAGAAGAGACAAGAGAAAAACAGGAAGGAGCTGATGTCAGAAACAACAGCAGTAAAGAATACTGTGATGGAAATAAATAACAAACTAATAAGCATGGAAAGCAGAATTAGCCAAGCAGAAGAAAGAATCTCAGAGCTCGAAGACCAAAACACAGAACTAACCCAAACTGTTAAAAGCATAGAAAAGAAGTTCAAAAAGACAGAACAAAACCTTCCAGAGATGAATGATCACTTCAAGAGACCGAACCTAAGAGTAATTGGCCTTCCTGAGGCAGAGAAATAGAGGCCACACTGGAACAAACATTTCATGAAATCATTCAAGAAAACTTCCCTCACCTCATCAAGGATGAAAAAATTCAAACACAAGAGATTCAGAGAACCCCTGCAAGAAAACAAATGAGAAGACCAACTCCCAGACATATAATAATTCACCTAAACAAAGTAGGTATAAAAGAGAAAATTCTAAAGACTGCAAGAGAAAAAGGTCAGACTATGTACCAGGGAAGACCAATTAGAATAGCAGCAGTTTTGTCTACAGAAACCCTCCAGGCTAGGAGAACTTGGAACCCTCTCTTCAAAGTTCCAAAAGATAAACAATTTCAACCAAGAATAACCTACCCAGCCAAGCTAAGCTTCATCAGTGAGGGAGGATTGAAATCTTTC